GGAAAGCTTGTAATTGATTGGACTTTTCAGCTTTTTTTTTTTTTTTTTTTTTTTTTTGAGACAGAGTTTCACTCTTGTTACCCAGGCTGGAGTGCAATGGCGCGATCTTGGCTCACCGCAACCTCTGCCTCCTGGGTTCAGGCAATTCTCCTGCCTCAGCCTCCTGAGTAGCTGGGATTACAGGCACGCACCACCATGCCCAGCTGATTTTTTTTGTATTTTTAGTAGAGACGGGGTTTCGCCATGTTGACCAGGATGGTCTCGATCTCTTGACCTTGTGATCCACCCGCCTTGGCCTCCCAAAGTGCTGGGATTACAGGCTTGAGCCACCGCGCCCGGCGACTTTTCAGCTTTATTGGCGGAACAAACAAGGTGAAATGTGCCTGGATTGTGGTGGGGACAGGATGGGGGAAGGGGAGCCATGGGGACTCACCTTGAGTGACCAGGTTTCCTACAGCCACCCACATGTGGGTTCAGAGTCTTGCTCTGTTGCTGGGCTGGAGTGCAGTGGTGCAATCTTGGCTCACTGCAACCTCCACCTCCCGGGTTCAAGCAATTCTCCTGCCTCAATCCGAGTAGCTGGGATTGCAGGGGTGCAATCGCGAGTAACTGGGATTGCAGGGGTGCACTGCCATGCACAGCTAAGTTTTGTATTTTTAGTAGAGACAGGGTTTCTCCATGTTGGCCATGCTGGTATCAAACTCCTGACCTCAGGTGATCTGTCTGCCTTGGCCTCCCAAAATGCTGGGATTACAGGCGTGAGCCAACCCGCTCAGCCTGGTGTGGGTTTTTATGTTAGATCCTGTGGATCTCTGGGAATGCATTTATGGACTTTAGAGGTCTTTAAGCCTGTCCCCGCCTCCAGTTATGCATATGTGCATATCTGCTCTTCTCTGGGGAAGGAGTCCACTGAAGTTTTTTTTTTTTTTTTTTTTTTTTTTTTGAGATGGAGTTTTGCTCTTGTTGCCCAGGCTGGAGTGCAATGGCGCGATCTCGGCTCACCGCAACCTCCGCCTCCTGGGTTCAGGCAATTCTCCTGCCTCAGCCTCCTGAGTAGCTGGGATTACAGGCACGCGCCACCATGCCCAGCTAATTTTTTGTATTTTTTAGTAGAGACGGGGTTTCACCATGGTGACCAGGATGGTCTCGATCTCTCGACCTCGTGATCCACCCGCCTCGGCCTCCCAAAGTGCTGGGATTACAGGCGTGAGCCACCGCGCCTGGCTGAAGTTTTATTTATTTATTTATTTATTTTTTCTTGATATTGTGTTTCACTCTTGTTGCCCAGTCTGGAGTGCAGTGGTGCAATCTCGGCTCACTGCAACCTCCGCCTCCTGGGTTCAAGCGATTCTCCTGCCTCAGCCTCCCCAGTAGCGGGGATTACAGGAGCCTGCCACCATGCCTGGCTAATTTTGAATTTTTAGTAGGGATGGCATTTCATCATGTTGGCCAGGCTGGGCTTGAACTCCTGACCTCAAGTGATTCATGCACCTTGGCCTCCCAAAGTGCTGGGATTGCAGGCATGAGCCACCGCACCCAGCCTGAAGTTTCATTTAGTTCCCATGAGGGTTCCTGGTCCCAGAACAGAAGAACCACAGCCTGCATCTAAGCTATAGTGTGTCTGTTTTTTTTTTTTTTTTTTTTTGAAACCGAGTTTCACTCTTGTTACCCAGGCTGGAGTGCAATGGCACGATCTCGGCTCACCACAACCTCCGCCTCCTGGGTTCAAGCAATTCTTCTGCCTCAGCCTCCTGAGGAGCTGGGATTACAGGCACGCGCCACCACGCCCAGCTAATTTTTTGTATTTTTAGTAGAGACGGGGTTTCACCATGTTGACCAGGATGGTCTCGATCTCTTGACCTTGTGATCCGCCCGCCTCGGCCTCCCAAAGTGCTGGGATTACAGGCTTGAGCCACCGCGCCCGGCCTAGTGTGTCTGTTTTACACCAGCCCCTCACCCAGGGAGCCCTCCCACCTTCTGTCCCTGCCCACCCTACTATCATCTTATGGCTCACTCCCCCTACCCTCTCTGTTCCCACGATTCACTCCACGACCTCCCGTCACCGCCCCCTTCCCGTACTGTTCCTTCTCTCCGAATAGCCGTCCTTGCTCCCACACAGCTTCCCTCTGCGACACGCCTTTGCAGTGCTTTCAGCCTCTGCTGCTGCACCCTGTACTCTTCCTTCTCTGTTACTCCCCTCAAGCCCTGCCTCCGTGCCCTACCTTCCCTCTGACGGTGCCTTGCCTACCTTTTTCTTGGACCTCTTCACTGGTGACCTGTCGATATGACAAAAAAGTTGAGGATGTGGGAGTAGGGGAGAGGAGTGGCAAGGGCAGGGGGTGGTGGGAAAAGCAGAAGAAGAAAGTGAAAGAAGCTCTGGAGGAAACCACAGGGCCTGTGGGGAAGGAGGGTCATTGTCATGGTGATTCCTGGTTATGGGGGGAAGGGTATAGGTTGTGGCTATCCTATAGCCTGAGGTCAGCCAAGCCCATCCAGAGAAGGAGCCCCTCCTCCCCAATTGCCTCCTCCCAGCAGCTACACTTCTGCAATCCGTTTGAGATTTGTTGAGCACCTACTATAAGGTGGGTATTTGGCTAGGTGCTGTGGCTCTAGCAGGGAGCCTGGTAGAGCCAGTCCCTGCCCACAAGGAGTGCTGTTTCTGGTAGGGGAGATGAACCTGTGAACTCAGACTTCATGTCTAGCTCCTTCTCAAAGCTCTTAGTGATCTGTGTGGGCCAGGAGCAAATCCCATTAATAATTTTCCTGCTCTCCCTACAGCAGGTGTCCCCAAACTACGGCCCGCGGGCCACGTGCGGCCCCCTGAGGCCATTTATCCGGCCCCCCCACTGCACTTCAGGAAGGGGCACCTCTTTCATTGGTGGTCAGTGAGAGGAGCACAGTATGTGGCGGCCCTCCAACGGTCTGAGGGACAGTGAACTGGCCCCCTGTGTAAAAAGTTTGGGGACGCCTGCCCTACAGGCTTCGTCCTTGCCTTGGCTTGAGCTGTTCTGCACTCTCTGCTTCTCCCAGTTCACCTCCTCCACCCCCTTTCCCAGGCCTCACTACTGTCTTGGCTTCTGGCCCCCCAGTCACATGCTCTATGCCTCTCTCTTCCATAGAGCCAGGCCCTATGTCTCTCTCTTCCAAGTTTCTAGCTGTCTGGACCTTGAATTTCTCAAAGCCTCTTCACTTCTCACCTCTGTTACTTCTCATTCCTACTAATACTCTTATCAAACCCTTCGTATGTGCCAGGTATTCTTGTAGGCAATTGATATGATTTATCTATTTAAAATTTCACGACAGTCCTGAGTCCTGCTTGACAGATGAGAAAACAGCCACAGCAAGGGTTAAGTAATTCAACTAAGGTCCTTACTACTTACTAGCGGGTAGTAGAGCCAGGATTTGAACTCTAGCAACTTGGCTCCAGAGCCTATGCAGTCAAGCACACTAATACAATGGATTCTGGGCTTTCAAAATGAGTAAGTCTCTAATTTCCCACCTCTCTACAGTACTTACTGCCTCTATTCCTTCCTATCATGTTCCTTCCTATATGAGAAAATGAAGAGATCATGAATTTTGGAGGCAGGCAGACCTGGATTTAAATCCCAGACCAAAAAAAAAAAAAAAAAAAAAAATCCCAGACCAGCCAGGTGTGCCTGCAATCCCAGCTACTCAGGAGGCCAAAGTGGGAGGACTGCTTGAGTCCAGGAGTTACAGACCATCCTGGGCAACATAGCAAGACCCTGTCTCAAAAATTAAAAAAAATAGGCTGGGCATGGTGGCTCACACCTGTAATCCCAGCACTTTGGGAGGCCGAAGTGGGCAGATCACTTGAGGTCAGGAGTTTGAGAGCAGCCTGGCCAACATGGTGAAGCCCTGTCTCTACTAAAAATATAAAATGTTGCTGGGCATGGTGGTGCACACCTGTAGTCCCAGCTACTCGGGAGGCTAAGGCAGGAGAATCCCTTGAATCCGGGAGGCAGAGTTTGCAGTATGCTGAGATTGAACCATGGCACTCCAGCCTGGGCGACAGAGCAAGACCCTATTTCTTAAATTAAATTAAATTAAAATAAAATAAAAAATACAGGCCGGGCACGGTGGCTCAAGCCTGTAATCCCAGCACTTTGGGAGGCCGAGGCGGGTGGATCACGAGGTCAAGAGATTGAGACCATCCTGGTCAACATGGTGACACCCCGTCTCTACTAAAAATACAAAAAAATCAGCTGGGCATGGTGGCGCGTGCCTGTAATCCCAGCTACTCAGGAGGCTGAGGCAGGAGAATTGCCTGAATCCAGGAGGCGGAGGTTGCGGTGAGCCGAGATCGTGCCATTGCACTCCAGCCTGGGTAACAAGAGCAAAACTCTGTCTCAAAAAAAATAAATAAAAAATACATGATCTCGGCTCACTGCAACCTCCGCCTCCTGGGTTCAAGCAATTCTGCCTCAGCCTCCTGAGTGGCTGGGACTACAGGTGTGTGCCACCATGCCCAGTTAATTTTTGTATTTTCAGTAGAGACGGGGTTTCACCACGTTGACCAGGATGGTCTCGATCTCTTGACCTCGTGATCCACCCACCTCAGCCTCCCAAAGTGCTGGGATTATAGGTGTGAACCACCGCGCCCGGCCTTTTTTTTTTTTTTTTTTTTTTGAGACGGAGTTTCGCTCTTGTTACCCAGGCTGGAGTGCAATGGCGCGATCTCGGCTCACCGCAACCTCCGCCTCCCAGGTTCAGGCAATTCTCCTGCCTCAGCCTCCTAAGGAGCTGGGATTACAGGCACATGCCACCATGCCCAGCTAATTTTTTGTATTTTTAGTAGAGACGGGGTTTCACCATGTTGATCAGGATGGTCTCGATCTCTCAAACTCGTGATCCACCCGCCTTGGCCTCCCAAAGTGCTGGGATTACAGGTGTGAGCCACCGCGCCCGGCCTCCTTTTTTTTTTTTTTTTTTTTTTTTTTTTTTTAAATCCTAGACTAGCTACTTACTAGCTATGGGACCTTGGGCTGAATTCTGTATTTCCTGCTTCCAAGCCTCAATCTTTGCATCTGTAAAACTGGGGACTAGGGGAATATTAACTCCTATCTTATGAGGTGGTTGTGAGGGTTAATTATGACGTGTCACATTCAGCACATGACAGGGGCTCAATAAATGAACTCTTTCTTCCAGGTCTCTGTATCGTCCACTCCCTTGGCTCAGCCCCACCCCTATCTGCTCCACCTTCTAGATCAGTTACCCCCACCAACCCCAAATCTTCCCCACCCCGGGGAGTGTCACTTCCTCCTCTGCAGTCTCCCAGATCAGTACACAAAGGCTGCTGCTGTCACCAGAGGAAGGGCTGCTCTGCACGCACCTGTGAGTACCAGGGCACCAGCCCTTCCGCCCAGGCCTACCTGGTCCCAACCTCTTGGGAAGAGGGCTTTGATCTGGATATGGAGGGCCCTGTCCAGACTTGAGAAAGGTTCTGAACTCCTTTCTACATTCCTAAGATCCTCTGAGCTGGCTCCCTCCTCCGGTTTCACAGTCCCCTACCCCCACCTCTCCCAAAGCCCAATCTCTCTTGCACCAGTTTACCAAGAGTGGGGCTGGCACGAGGGAAAGGAGGTGGGGATGTATATGAGTGCTGACATTTGAGTGCCTGCCATGTGCCAAGGATTATACTGAAGTAGGGTTCTCCCAACATTATTCCCAGCTGCCATCCCTGGTGCCTAATGCTCTGTCTTCAGCTCAGACTTCTTCCCAATCAGCATGTCGGCCACAGACTCCACTCTCCTGGGGCACTGTGGCCCAGCAGCTCAGTTCTGTTCCCTCCTTGTGTCTCCTAGTGGGCAGCCCAGTGTTCTGATTAACTTGGAAGGTATGGATGGGCTGAGAAGAGGCTCTGTTTCTCAGCTGCTGAGGGGGGCCACAGGGTGTGTATTGGAGTCAGAATGGAGTCCAGAAAAAATGGCAATAATCACTTGGTCCCAGGAAGGGAAGGGAAGACTGGAGAATATGCCTAAGGAAAGAGAAATGGGATTAGAGCCCATCAGGGCTAGTGGAGAGAGAGCACAACTATTGGAGGGAGGAAAGGAGCAAGCACAGCAGAGGCCTGGCCTGCCTCAGTCCCTGCCCTGCCCTGCCCTGCCTTGCCCTGCCTTGCCCTGCTCTGCCCTGCCCTGTCCCTAGTTCTCTGGGTGACCCTGGCCTCATGGAATTTAGGTTTCCATTTGTAAAAAGAGGGGGATGGAGTAGAAGATTCTGCCATTCCATAGTTAGGAACAGAGGGGAAAAGGAAGTAAAACAGCCTATGAAGAAGTGGAGCAGAGAGATGCAATGGGAGTTTTGAATTGAAAGGAGCCAGAGAGAGACACAGCAGCAGACAGAGAAATAGGTGGCAGAACATGTACCTCCAAGGAGGGAAGAGGAGAGGATAATTGGGAAGAAAGGTAGGAAAGGGCCATCCAGGGAGTCCCAGGACCCCCTTTAAGGGGAGATGAGTGGGCTTGAAGTCTCTGTAAAACCCGTGTGGCAGCAAGGGCTCCGCTTACGAGAGATGAGTCAAAACCCGGCTTTGGGTTGCAGCATCTCCAGCCTCCGTGACCACAGACACGCAAAGCAAGCAGGGTTGAGGTTACACTGAGGCTGAGCTGGGGCCAGCCTTTCCCCAAGGGGTGGAGGCTCCGTTATATATGGCGCCTGAGGTCACAGGTGGTGGGGAGCAGGACCAGGATGTTCAACGACTCAGCACCCCACCCCTTCCCCACACTCTGTGCAGAGTATCTGGACCTGACTCTGGGCTCAGGCTGAAGAAGGTGCAAATGGTTTATGACAAGGAGTTAGTTGGCCTTTCTCATACACTGCTGATGGGAATGTGGACCAGTACAAGCCCTGAGGAGCTTATGTTGGCAATATCCATATATATATATATTTTATTTTTATTTTTATTTTTTATTTATTTTTTATTTTTTTTATTTTTATTTTTTGAGACGGAGTTTCTTGTTACCCAGGCTGGAGTGCGATGGCGCGATCTCGGCTCACCGCAACCTCCGCCTCCTGGGTTCAGGCGATTCTTCTGCCTCAGCCTCCTGAGTAGCTGGAATTACAGGCACGTGCCACCATGCCCAGCTAATTTTTTGTATTTTTTTAGTAGAGACGGGGTTTCACCATGTTGACCAGGATGGTCTCAATCTCTTGACCTCGTGATCCACCCGCCTCGGCCTCCCAAAGTGCTGGGATTACAGGCTTGAGCCACCGCGACCGGCCCTTTTTTTTTTTTCTTAGCATGAGAATATAGATGAAATACACAGCAATGCTACAAGTGATATCTATTTATCTTACACATCTTCTTTCAGGGATTTATCCTACAGATTCAGTTGCACACGTGTGAAATAATAAATACATGACATTTGGCTGGGCATGGTGGCTCATGCCTGTAATCGTGGTACTTTGGGAGGCCAAGGTGGGTGGGTGGCTTGAGCTCAGGAGTTCTAGACCAGCCTGGGCAACATGGGGAAACCCCATTTCTGCAAAATAATACAAAAATAATTAGCCAGGCATGGTAGCACCTGTAATACCAGCTACTACTATCAATTAAGCCTGGGAGGTCAAGGCAGCAGTGAGCCATGATTGCACCGGTACACTATAGCCTGGGTGACAGAGAAAGACCCTATCTTTCAAATGAATAAATAAATAAATATACAACTTTTCTTTTCAGCATCGTTTGTTATAGTGAACTAGAAACAATTTAAGGCCAGGCACAGTGGCTCACGCCTGTAATCACAGCACTTTGGGAGGCTGAGGCAGCTGGATCACCTGAGGTTGGGAGTTCGAGACCAGCCTGACCAACATGGAGAAACCCCATCTCCACTAAAAATACAAAATTATTGGGGTGTGGTGGCGCATGCCTGTAATCCTAGCTACTTGGGAGGCTGAGGCAGGAGAATCATTTGAACCCAGGAGGTGGAGGTTGTGGTGAGCCAAGATTGAGCCATTGCACTCCAGTTTGGGCAACAAGAGTGACATTCCATCTCAAAAAAAAAAAAAAAAAAAAAAAAAAAAACACAAAAAACCAGAGACATTTTTAACTTTCTTAGGTAGAAAGATTTCCAGGAAAAGTAGTTAAAGGAAAAAAAATGAAAAATTGTGTTTTCTACCATTTAAAGAATCATGGCATTTGAGTCTACCATTTAAAAAGCATATGCATGTTAATTTGTATATGCACAAAACAATCTCTAGAAAGTTTGTAAGAAACAAAGATAGGCTGGGCGCAGTGACTCTCACCTGTAATTCCAGCAGTTCTGGAGGCTGAGGTGGGCGGATTACTTGAGGCCAGGAATTCGAGACCAGCCTGGCCAACACGGCAAAACTCTGTCTCTACTAAAAACACAAAAATTTGGCCAGGCGTGGTGGCTCAAGCCTGTAATCCCAGCACTTTGGGAGGCCGAGGCGGGTGGATCACAAGGTCGAGAGATCGAGACCATCCAGGTCAACATGGTGAAACCCCGTCTCTACTAAAAATACAAAACATTAGCTGGGCATGGTGGTGTGTGTCTGTAATTCCAGCTGCTCAGGAGGCTGAGGCAGGAGAATTGCTTGAACCCGGGAGGTGGAGGTTGCGGTGAGCTGAGATCACGCCATTGCACTCCAGCCTGGGTAACAAGAGCGAAACTCCGTCTCAGAAAAAAAAAAAAAAAAAAAAAAAAAAAAAAAAATATATATATATATATATATATATATATATATATATATATATATATATATAACATTAGCTGGGCATGGTGGCGCGTGCCTGTAATCCCAGCTACTCAGGAGGCTGAGGCAGGAGAATTGTCTGAACCCAGGAGGTGGAGGTTGCGGTGAGCCGAGATCGAGCCATTGCACTCCAGCCTGGGTAACAAGAGCGAAACTCCATCTCAAAAAAAAAAAAAAAAAAAAAAACCACACAAAAATTAGCTGGGTGTGGTGGCACACACCCGTAATCTCAGCTACTTGGGGGGCTGAGGCTCAAGACTCACTTGAACCCAGGAGGCGGAGGTTGTAGTGAGCTGAGACTGTGACAGGGCACTCCAGCTGGGGCAGCAGAGTAAGACTCTGCCTCAACAAAGCAAAACAAAATAAAAGAAACAAACAAACAAAGATAGTAATAAATAATATTTATTTAGGGTAGGTGTGAAAACTGGGTATGGCGTATGGGATAGGAGATTTCTCATCATCTTAACTTTTTGAGTTTGATTTTTAAAATGGTAGATACACAAAATGTCTATATTTTATACATTTTTACCACTTTTAAGTGTACAATTCCGTGGCATTAGGTAAATTCACTAATTCCAGAACTCATTTATCAACCCAAAATGAAACTACTCATTAAGCAGCCACTCTCCATTTCCCCTTCCCCCAACCTTGGGTAACCATTAATCTCTGCGGATTTTTTCTAGTTTGGATATGTGGAATCATACAATATGTGATCTTTCATGAATGGTTTTGTTCACTGAGCATTTATCAAGGTTCATCCATGTTGTGGCATGTATGTATCAGTACCTCATTGCTTTTTATGGCCAAATAACTTTCTGCTGTGTGGATAGACCACCTTTCCTTATCCATTCATCAGTTGATGGACATTTGGGTTCTTTCCACCTTTTAGCTATGGTGAATAGTGCTGCTGTAAACATTTCTGTACCAGTTTTGCTTGAACACTTGTTTTCAATTCTTTTGTGTGTATACCTAAGAGTAGAATTGCCAGGTTATAGGGTAATCCCATGCTCAGTTGAGGAACCAAACTATAAAAATGAGAAAAACTGTTTTCCTCAGGGATTGTACTATTTTATATTCCTTACATGGTAATGTGTAAGGATCTCAATGTCTCCATGTTTCCAACAACACTTGTTATTTTTCTTTTTCTTTCTTTTTTTTTTTTTTTTGAGACGGAGTTTCGCTCTTGTTACCCAGGCTGGAGTGCAATGGCGCGATCTCGGCTCACCGCAACCTCCGCCTCCTGGGTTCAAGCAATTCTCCAGCCTCAGCCTCCTATGTATCTGGAATTACAGGCACGCGCCACCATGCCCAGCTAATTTTTTGTAATTTTAGCAGAGACGGGGTTTCACCATGTTGACCAGGATGGTTTTGATCTTCTTGACCTCGTGATCCACCTGCCTCGGCCTCCCGAAGTGCTGGGATTACAGGTTTGAGCCACTGCGCCCGGCCTATTTTTCAGTTTTTGATCATAGTCATTCTAGTAGATATGAGGTGGTATCTCATTGTGGTTTTGTTTTCCTTTTTTTTTTTTTTTTTTGGAGACAGGGTCTTGCTATGTCCTCCAGGCTGGACTGCAGTGGCCTGATCTTGGCTCACTGTAGCCTCTGCCTCCTGGGTTCAAGCGATTCTCGTGCCTCAGCTTCCCGAGTAGCTGGGACTACAGGCATTCGCCACCATGCCCAGCTACGTTTTGTATTTTTAGTAAAGATAGGGTTTTACCATGTTACCTAGGCTGGTCTCAAACTCCTGACCTCAAGTGATCCACCTGCCTTGGCCTCCCAAAGTGCTGGGATTACAGGTGTGAGCCACAAGCCCAGTCTTTTTTTTTCTTTTTAAGAGACGGCGTTTTACTCTGTTGCCCATGGCAGAGTACAGTGACATGATCATAGCTCACTGCAGCCTCAAACAACTGGGTTCAAGCTGTCTTCCCACCAGCACTGGAATTACAGGCATGAGCCACTGTGACCAGCCAACACTGTCTTTTTTTTTTTTTTTTTTTTTGAGACAGTTTCACTCTTGTTGCCCAGGCTGGAGTGCAATGGCTCATTCTTGGCTCACTGCAACCTTCGCCTCCTGGGTTCAAGCGATTCTCCTGTCTCAGCCTCCCAAGTAGCTGGGATTAGAGGCATGTGCCACCACGTCTGGCTAATTTTTTTGTATTTTTTATAGAGACGGGGTTTCACCATGTTGGTCAGGATGGTCTCGATCTCTTGACTTTGTGATCCACCCGCCTCAGTCTCTCAAAGTGCTGGGATTACAGGCATGAGCCACTGCACCCGGCCAACATTGTCTTGATTACTGTAGCTCTGCAGTAAGTTTTTTACAAGATTATTTTGGCTATTTGGGGTTCCATGCGATTCCATATAAATTTTAGAAACAGCTTTTCCATTTCTGCAATAAAAAGGGCCAATGGGATTTAACTTTTTGACTTTTGAAGCATGGTAAAAAATTACCTGTTCATTAAAAAAAATTAATATGGCCGGGCGCGGTGGCTCACGCCTGTAATCCCAGCACTTTGGGAGGCCAAGGCGGGAGGATCATGAGGTCAAGAGATCGAGACCATCCTGGTCAACATGGTGAAATCCTGTCTCTACTAAAAATACAAAAAATTAGCTGGGCATGGTGGCCCGTGCCTGTAATCCCAGCCACTCAGGAGGCTGAGGCAGGAGAATTGCCTGAACCCAGGAGGCGGAGGTTGCGGTGAGCCGAGATTGTGCCATTGCACTCCAGCCTGGGTAACAAGAGTGAGACTCCGTCTCAAAAAAAAAAAAAAAAAAAAAAAAAAAAAAATTAATATGTTTTTTAAAGTCAGGAATTTGGTTGGCTTTCCTAAAGGCCACTTGAGAAATTACTCTGCCTCCAGATTCTTTCTTCAATCTAGATTATCTTCTTGAAAAGTACAGAAAAGAGACAATTTTTTTTGCCCACACTGGCCTTCCTTCTCCTCTTAATCTGCAGAGAGTTCTTGTGGTCTCATCTTCATTCCTGTTGCTACCATGTCAACCAAGCAGAACTATTCTCCCTTGACTCTGTCACACACTCACCCTCATCTGTTCCAGCCTTCTTTTTCCTAATTCCCACTCACTGACCCGCTTCTCTCATTTAGAATCCAAGATTGTGAAAACCGCAAAGTATGTCAGATTATTTATCCAACTCCCCCACCTTACAGATGTGGAAACTAAAGCCCAGAGAGAAGGTCTGACTTGCCATACAGCCAGTGAGTGACTGCAGCAGGACCAGAATCTGGTCCATTTCCTCTTTGGTTCTACCATCATTACGGCTTGGAATCTTGGTAAATAGACCTGGGTGCAGACTTTAGTGCCTCCAGACCCAGTCCCCAGACCCTTTAGTAGGCCATTTTGCCCACCCTGGCCACATGAAGTCTGCACACAGGAAGAACAGTGTCTCTGAAGCCCCTACCTTTTTTCTTTTCTTTTTTTTTTTTTTTTTTTTTGAGATGGAGTCTTGCTCTGTCACCAAGGCTAGAGTGGGGTGGTGCAATCTCGGCTCACTCCAACCTCCACCTCCCAGGTTCAAGCGATTCTCTTGCCTCAGCCTCCCGAGTAGCTAGGATTACAGGTGCATGCCACCATGCCCATCTAATTTTTGTATATATATATATATATATATATTTTTAGATGGAGTTTTGCTTTCGTTTTCCCGGCTGGAGTGCAATGGCATGATTTTGGCTCACTGCAACCTCCACCTCCCGGGTTCAAGCGATTCTCCCACTTCAGCCTCTCAAGTAGCTGGGATTATAGGTATCTGCCACCACACCAAGCTATTTTTTGTATTTTTAGTAGAGATGAGCTTTCACTATGTTGGCCAGGCTGGTCTGGAACTTCTGACCTCAGGTGATCCACCCCCCTCGGCCTCCCAAAGTGCTGTGATTACAGGTGTGAGCCACCACACCTGGCCCTAATTTTTGTATTCTTGAGACAGGGTTTCGCCATATTGGCGAAGTCGAACTCTTGAGATCAGGTGTTCCACCTGCCTCAGCCTCCTAATGTGCTGGGATTACAGGTGTGAGCCATCACGTCAGGAGGCCCCTGTCTTTGCCTGGTACCTGCCCCTTCCCATCATTTTGAAGAAGCTGCTGAATCCACGGGGGAAGTGAAACTATGAGGGAAGATACAGATTTGGGGTAGAGTTTTGAGAGTGATAACCACAAGCTAAGTTCAGAGGACTGAGAGTTTGCGGGTCCTCCCTGACGGCCCGCATGTCCTCCTTTATTTCCTATTACAGGCCATGGTGGCTTTGCCAGTGGTCGTTGTGTTGCTGCTGGTCCTGAGCAGAGGTGAGAGTGAGTTGGACGCCAAGATTCCATCTACAGGGGAAGCTACAGAATGGCGGAACCCGCACCTGTCCTTGCTGGGGTCCTGCCAGCCAGCCCCCTCCTGCCAGAAGTGCATCCTCTCACACCCCAGCTGTGCATGGTGCAAACAACTGGTAAAGATGGTCCTGTGGCCCTTGAACCATGTGTATGTGTATGGGCGGCTTGGATATATGTGTGTGATTGTGTGGGCACATGTATGATTTTCTAGGTACACGTTACAGTCTCATATGTGACTGAGTTCACATAGGACTCCTGTGTGTGAATATACACGTGTGTGTGCAAGTTTCCTGTGTACGTAAGGTTATATCTGTATCCATGTACTTTTGTATATACGGAGAGAATCTGTGACCATGAATTGGGAGAAAGTATGTGCTTGTGGGAATTCATGCCTGTGTATAGGGAAAGGAAGCTGTTGTGCATGTAAATATGTGAGAAAGGTATTAGCCAGTGTAAGCTGCCATAACAAAATACCATAGGCTGGGTGGTTTAAACAACAAGAATTTATTTCTCTTAATGTTGAAGGCTGGGAAGTCCAAGATCTAATTGCTGGCTGATTTGATTCCCCAGTTAGGGCTCTCCTCTTGGCTTGCAGACTGGCTACCTTCTCGGTATGTCCTCACATAGTGGGGAGGGGGTAGGTGGGTGGGAGTGGGAACAAGAAGGTGCCTCTCTTCTTGTAAGGGCACTAATTCCATCAAGAGGGTTCCACCCTTAGGACCTCATCTAAGCCTAGGTGTCTTGCAAAGGCTCCAGCTTCAAACACCATCACATGGAGGGTTAGGGCTTCAATACAGGATGGGGGTGGGGGTGGGGGTGAGGTGGGGTAGGGGTGCAGAGTTCAGTCCATAGCAGAAAGTGTGTGGTTAGATTTCTAAGTCTGTGTCTGGGGTGGGGGCATTCTGTTCCTGGGTGTGTAGCAACCTAGGACTGGGCAGGTAGAAAGGAGAGGGGTGGAAGCCTACGGGCTTGAGGGGGACTGGAAAGTCTTCAGCTACCTAAATGGCCAAGAAGGATGCTAGGGAGCAGGCATCTCCCTGGCTCCTCAAACACGGCTGTTGTTTGTTTATGCTTTAAAGAGACAGAGCTCATGGAGCAGCAGAGCCGGAGGGGTGCCTGAGCTGGGATGGGGGCAGGTCTACCTCTCTGAGAGGAAGGTGGAGGGTTAGATCAGTGTGGGAGCCCAGATAAGAGATGAGGGCAAACTCACGAGGAGACAGGGCTACAGATGTTTAGAGGACCCAGGAGAAAGGCATACAGTGAATCTGAGAGGACAAGAAGTGTAGATGCTGAGTCTGCACGAGGCAGAGAGGCAGAGGTGCCAGGCTGGAGCTGGGGAGTTGGAGCGCTTGAAATAATCCGGTCTGTGTCTGGCTTCTCCAATCCCCAGACTAGGAGCTGACACCCAGGGCCAGCTGAGAAGCCACTCTAACCATTTCCTTCCCCTGTGGCTTCCCAACCAGTCCCAGACATATTGAGGTGGGGGCACCTCCTTCCCCTTCCAAGGAGCTGTGGGTCTTAGCCTGACCCCCTTCCCATTTTGGTGTGAGCTTGCTGGGGAGGTTGGCCTAGGAGGCAAGGCCCCCCTTTTTTTGTGGTAGTGAAGTCTCTAAGATCTCAACAGGAAGTCTGTGGCTCTATTGGGGAGCAGAAGGGTAGGTGGCTGGGGCAAGGAGAAGTTGAGATAAGGGGAGGGGTAGGGGACTGCTATAGGAAGTGGCTCTGACAAAGAAGAAAGGACCAGAGTTCCACTGGTGGTGGCTCATGCCTGCAGTCCCAGCACTTTGGGAGGCTGAGGCAGGAGGATTGCTTGAGCCCAGGATTTCAAAATCAGGCTGGGCAACAAAGCAATACCCTGTCTTCATAGCAAAAAAAGAAAAGAAAAGAAAAGAAAAAAAAAAAGGTCGAGTGTGGTGGTTCATGCCTGTAATCCTAGCACTTCGGGAGGCTGAGGCCGGCGGATCACTTTAGGTCAAGAGTTCGAGACCAGCCTGGCCAACAAGGAGAAACCTCATCTCTACTAAAAATACAAAAAGTATCTGGGCATGAGGTGGCGCACACCTGTTGTCCCAGCTACTGGGAGGCTGAGGCACAAGAATCACTTGAATCCCGGAGGTGGAGGTTGCAGTGAGTGGAGATCGCAGCGCTGCATTCCATCCTGGGCGACAGAGTGAGACTTTGTCTCAAAAACAAAACAACAACAAAAAAGACCAGAGTTCAAGGGTAGCTGTGTAGGGAAGAGGAGGGGAGGGAATCAGGGGCTTGCAGGGTGGTTCAGGGAGCGGGGCGGAGGGCCTGTGCAGGACGCGGTCCCGACAAGCCTTTTCTTGCTGAGCAGAACTTCACAGCGTCGGGGGAGGCGGAGGAGCGGCGCTGCGCCGGGCGAGAGGAGCTGCTGGCTCGCGGCTGCCCGCCAGAGGAGCTGGAGGAGCCCCGGGGCCGACAGGAGGTGCTGCAGGACCAGCCGCTCAGCCAGGGCACCCGCGGAGAGGGTGCCACCCAGCTGGCGCCGCAGCGGGTCCGGGTCACGCTGCGGCCTGGTGAGTTAGGGCCGGCGGGGCCAGGCCAGAGGTCTAGGCTGGGGTTCCAATGCGCTTTGCTGACCCGCGCCCACCCCCCACCCCCCAGGGGAGCCCCAGCAGCTCCAGGTCCGTTTCCTCCGTGCCGAGGGATACCCGGTGGACCTATACTACCTTATGGATCTGAGCTACTCCATGAAAGACGACCTGGAACGCGTGCGCCAGCTCGGGCACGCTCTGCTGGTCCGGCTGCAGGAGGTCACCCATTCTGTGCGCATTGGTGAGCCGAGCGCTGCCTCCCGCCCTCTTAGCGCTTGCCTGTCAACCACTGCCTTAGCCTCTGCCAACATCCTCAACTCACAAGGGCCCTGGCTTGCCCTCGCAGTTGCTGACAGATCTAGCCAGGCCACAGGTTTGTTCCTGCATCTCTCCCCAAAGACACCCATCTTCTAGGTCAGAGCTGGAGAGGAGTCAAGAGACTGTCCAGTAGGAATCTTCATTTTACGGGTCTAGCTGAGACCCAGCATCTGGTGAAACCATGTTCAGGCCCTCTCAAGGCCTGGACAGCTGCCCTGGACCTACCAACCTGGAACCTGCTCTGATGCGAGGGTCCCTTGGACAAGGCCTAGATGTCACTGTCCCTGGTTCCACATTCTGGGCTAATTGTCCTCTATGCAGATTTCCCTCCTTTGCCTTATGCTGCTATCACATCCTATGCCTGAGCCGCCTTTGACCTTCGGGAAGCTCCCGTTTGGCCCGGGAGTTGTGTTCCTCCTCTTAAGTGTCCTCTGTCCACCACTTTCCTGAGCCGGTGGTCTGACCGCTTTGCTTGCCAGTTACCGGGTCCCTGACTCCTAGGTGCACCCTCTCTCATCACCTCTTCCATGACCGTCTTCCCCACCCCATTTGCCATCAAGCACTCTCATGAGTCCTCTGCTGCCCTGTGACTTCTGGTACAGTTTTCGTTCCTCTCTTCTCCCAGGTTTTGGTTCCTTCGTGGACAAAACAGTGCTGCCCTTTGTGAGCACAGTGCCCTCAAAGCTGCGCCACCCCTGCCCCACCCGGCTGGAGCGCTGCCAGTCACCCTTCAGCTTTCACCATGTGCTGTCCCTGACGGGGGACGCGCAAGCCTTTGAGCGGGAGGTGGGGCGCCAGAGCGTGTCCGGCAATCTGGACTCGCCTGAAGGTGGCTTTGATGCCATTCTGCAGGCTGCACTCTGCCAGGTGAGGAGGTGGGGTGGGGAGCTGAGCCTGGAGTTCTGTTTGGAAATAGGACTGCCCCTATGGTTGTGTAGTGCACAATTCTAGGGGGTGCCATTCATACCACAGTTGCTGTAGTTTGTATACATATTTTAACAATTACTTGGTGGGTTGGAGTAAAATATGTTGAGGAGGAGGCATGATTTTCTAATTCACAAGCAAGCCTCCACTAGCAGCAGCCTTGTTTGTGGGGCTGGGGAGAGCAGGGAGAAGCAAGGTACTGGAGGCAAGGGGGTGGACAAGCTGACTCAAGAGCGAGGCTGGCCACATCCTTGCCTCACAGAGCTGGCTGGGGTGGCTCAAGGGCCATGGCCAGCTGCATAGCCTACCACCCGCACTGTACCCCAGGAGCAGATTGGCTGGAGAAATGTGTCCCGGCTGCTGGTGTTCACTTCAGATGACACATTCCACACAGCTGGGGATGGGAAGTTGGGTGGCATTTTCATGCCCAGTGATGGGCATTGCCACTTGGACAGCAATGGCCTCTACAGTCGCAGCACAGAGTTTGTGAGTCCCCACAATCACCCTGCCTCTCCCCATCTGAGCCACACCTCTTTCCTTCCAGGACTCCTACTTCCAGCCTCAATAGTCCTCACTGGTAACCACCCTGCCATCTACCCCAGCAATTCCTCCTTTCAGCTGCCGAGACAGGACACCTTTGTCACTGCATTCCCTACCGCCTTTCTTTTCTTTTCTTTTTTTTTTTGAGACAGAGTTTCGCTCTTGTTACCCAGGCTGGAGTGCAATGGTGCGATCTCGGCTCACTGCAACCTCCGCCTCTTGGGTTCAAGCAATTCTCCTGCCTCAGCCTCCTGAGTAGCTGGGATGACAGGCACGTGCCACCATGCCCAGCTAATTTTTTTGTATTTTTAGTAGAGATGGGGTTTCACCATGTTGACCAGGATGGTCTCGATCTCTTGACCTCGTGATCCACCCGCCTCGGCCTCCCAAAGTGCTGGGATTACAGGCTTGAGCCACCGCGCCCGGCTCCCTACCGCCTTTCTATTCCTTGGCAAGCCTCCAGGGCTCCTCCAGCTGGTGGAACCTTGGTTTGTGGGTTCCCTGGGCTGAGGGCACCTTGCATGTTGCGGGGGAGACCTGTGGCACTCACCTTGTCCCTGCTTCCTGCCCTAGGACTACCCCTCTGTGGGTCAGGTAGCCCAGGCCCTCTCTGCAGCAAACATCCAGCCCATCTTTGCTGTCACCAGTACCGCACTGCCTGTCTACGAGGTGAGAGCTGTCTATGTGTCAGATCCCCAGCCCCACCTCAGCCTTTCTCAGTTTACCCGAAGATCCATTCTCCGCCCCCTATATGCCCTCCTTCCAGACCCCCAGGAGCCCATTTTCTTAGAGCTGTGACCTACCATTTCCCTTAATTCCCCATAACTCAGGAGCTGAGTAAGCTGATTCCTAAGTCTGCAGTGGGGGAGCTGAGTGAGGACTCCAGCAATGTGGTACAGCTCATTATGGATGCTTATAACGTAAGGGGCCAGGGGAGGGGGAGATGGTGAGGGTGGGCACTGGGGAAAGGTAGAAAGGGGCCCTTGGGTGGGGTGACAGAATTCAGAGGAAATGGTCACTTTTTGGTCTAACATTCCACAGCTCCTACCCATAGTTTGCACATGGCTGTCATTAATTGTTCAGTCATGCAATCTTATATTCATAAATCAAACATCTGACATACAGAGAGCTTGGCGCTCTGCTCTGGGCAAGAAAGGAACGTTACAATCACTGAACTTGTATTTCTTTTTTCTTTTTTTTTTTTTAAATTTATTTATATATTTTTTAAAATTGTAAATAGAGATGGGGTTTCACTATGTTGGCCAGGATGGTCTCGATCTCTTGACCTCGTGATCCGCCCGCCTCAGCCTCCCAAAGTGCTGGGATTACAGGCGTGAGCCACCGTGCCCTGAACTTCTATTTCATGCACCCACCATCCTAGGTGTACATACTGTTTGCTACTTTATTTAACCCCGCCAAGAGTCTTGCTTCATAACTCTTATCATCCCTATTTCACAGATGAGGGAACCCACACAAGGAGGCTAAGTGACTTGTGCAAGGTCACAAAGATAACCAACAGAAGGGCTGGAATTTGTCCCTAGTCAGTCTGTACATAACAATGTGAGATCTGGAGCCTGCTTTCACTAAGTTTATAAACAATTCAGAGCTAAGGATCTGAATAAGAATCATAGAATTTTACAGGTAGAAGGAACCATAAAAAATCTTAGTGTTTAGGTCTTATCTCTGAAACTAGATTGTAAGCTTCTTGAGGTCAAGGACCATCTCTTAAACCCATGGCAAGAAAATCTGAGACAGTATCAAATTTCCTAGGATAAACTGTAATGAATCTGCTCTTTAGACCTGGCATGCACCCAGCTCGTGTCCTGATGTGGGGCTTCACAAACATGATCTCTGCCTGTTTACAGCACCTGGCCAGCCTGTGACCCTCAGAGGCCCTTGCTGCCAGCCGCACTGAAATGCTGTACTAGGGGCCTCTGGATCTTGTATATTCTACACAAGGTTCTCATGGATCCTCCCTCCAGAGATGCCTCTTGACCAGGCAGAATGGAAGGAGCTCCAGGTGGCAGAGGGCAGAGCGCTGGCAGAATTGGGACCACCTGGAGAGGACATAAAGTGGGGGTATGGTCCTTTCCTGCATTCATATGGTTATCCACTCACTCTCCTCCCATAGAGCCTGTCTTCCACCGTGACCCTTGAACACTCTTCACTCCCTCCTGGGGTCCACATTTCTTACGAATCCCAGTGTGAGGGTCCCGAGAAGAGGGAGGGTAAGGCTGAGGATCGAGGACAGTGCAACCATGTTCGAATCAACCAGACGGTGAGAGCCAGCTAGCACAGGCAGGTGTGCAGCGGGAGGTGGGAGTGGGAAATGAAGCAGGCAGGAAAAGATAGGGGCAGGCGTGTGACGGGAGCCCGGGGTGGCCCTCCATCCGTCCTTCACGGAGCGGTCTAAGTAGCCTCCTCAGACATTTTTCTAGGAGATGGGTGTTACTATGACCCCATCCCTTCGTTTACTAAGGGGTGAGGTTTTGGATGACTGGTGGGTTTGGGCTGTGTGTGTGTAACCGTGGCCTGATTCCTGCCTACCCCATTCTCAGGTGAATTTCTGGGTTACTCTCCAAGCCACCCACTGCCTCCCAGAGCCCCATCTCCTGAGGCTCCGGGCCCTTGGCTTCTCAGAGGAGCTGACTGTGGAGTTGCACACGCTGTGTGACTGTAACTGCAGCGACACCCAGCCCCACGCTCCCCACTGCAGTGATGGCCAGGGACACCTACAATGTGGGGTGTGCAGGTGAGGGCCTCCTCTTCCCTTCACCTAGCTGGCTCCCCACAAACGACCAATCCTAGCCCGTATTCCTCTGCTGCTTTCCACCCTCCCTCAGGAGTCTCCTCGACATCCCTTGAGGCTTCCCAGATCTGTCCAGGCCCTCCCCCTGACCGGGGCTCCCTCCGCTCTCTCCCTCCGCTCCGTGTTCCACTGTACTCATCATCCCTTCAGCTGCTTGTCTCTCTTCAACTCTCTTGAGAACTGGAGTTTAGAGGCTCCTGGGAGAGACAAGTCAGGGATGTTCAAACTCTCTGACCCACTTCTCTCCTTTGCCTTCCCCTCCCAGCTGCGCCCCCGGCCGCCTAGGTCGGCTCTGTGAGTGCTCTGAGGCTGAGCTGTCTTCCTCAGATCTGGAATCTGGGTGTCGGGCTCCCAATGGCACAGGGCCCCTGTGCAGTGGAAAGGGTCAGTGCCAATGTGGACGCTGCAGCTGCAGTGGACAGAGCTCTGGGCATCTGTGTGAGTGTGACGATGCCAGCTGTGAGCGACATGAAGGCATCCTCTGTGGAGGTACCTGGAACCCTGGGGAGAAGGGCGGGATCTGAGGGGCCTTCCCAAAGGCACTTAGGTTCTGGGAGTCTCCTGGCATGGAGGGCAAATGTCAGATTCTGGTGTATGAGTTAGAGGGTGTGTTTGGCCTACTTGAAAAAGATTGGATGCGTGGGCTTCTGGTGCCACATGATGGTCAACTGCCATGTGTGGAGTATGCTTGTCACCCTCTGCATGGCTCTACCCCAGGCTTTGGTCGCTGCCAATGTGGAGTATGTCACTGTCATGGCAACCGCACAGGCAGAGCATGCGAATGCAGTGGGGACATGGACAGTTGCATCAGTCCCGAGGGAGGGCTCTGCAGTGGGCATGGACGCTGCAAGTGCAACCGCTGCCAGTGCTCGGATGGCTACTATGGTGCTCTATGCGACCAATGCCCAGGCTGCAAGACACCATGCGAGAGACACAGGTGGGGCCTCAGGTCTTGCATCTTGGGAGCAGGGGCACAGTGGGGCTTGTTGAGCCACTCCAATCTGCCTACTCTCCTTCCTGCTTGTAGCTGGGTAAGGGCCATTGGGTGACAACTGCCCAGCTGGTAACTTACTGGCATCTACTACACAGGGACTGTGCAGAGTGTGGAGCCTTCGGGACTGGCTCCCTGGCCACCAATTGTAGTACAGCTTGTGCCCATACCAATGTGACCCTGGCCTTGGCCCCTTTTTTGGATGATGGCTGGTGCAAGGAGAGGACCCTGGACAACCAGCTGCTCTTCTTCTTGGTGGAGGATGAGGCCACAGGCAGGGTGGTGCTCAGAGTGAGACCCCAAGAAAGTAAGTGGGCATGGATGCCACAGACCCTGGAAGTTTGATAGGCAGGGTCTAAGAACTCTGGGGATGCAGAGTGAAGATAATGGGAAGCAGGCTGGGGGCTGAAACAGTACCGTGAATCCAGGACAAAGGCAGAAGCGACTGGGCAAGTGGACAAAGCTAAGACCCTGGCCAGTGAGGGTACAACCTTGGACCTTGCTGCATTCCCTTTGCTTTCAGTGACAGACAAGGTTGGGAGAGGCTGGACACACTGTGGGCAGCTGTTGATCTGTCCCTATGCTCCAGCTCCCAAATGTCGGGTTTCGGGTTTCTCGTCCACAGAAGGAGCAGACCACACCCGGGCCATTGTGCTGGGCTGTGTAGGAGGCATTGTAGCAGTGGGGCTGGGGCTGGTCCTGGCTTACCGGCTCCTGGTGGAAATCTATGACCGCCGGGAATACAGTCGCTTTGAGAAGGAGCGGCAGCAACTTAACTGGAAGCAGGTGAGACTTCCTGGTTAGGCCCTTTTTTGGTTTCCCCACAAGCCCAGCCCTGATTCCTCCCACTGGGTTCCCCCAGCCCCTGGCACATGTAACCAACCCCTCTGCTGACTTCCATCAGCTCCAGTTGCGGGCTGGCCTCTTAGGTCTAGAAAGGGGACGAGGAATCCTGGGATTTTTTGCTCATAATCTGCAATGTCTTTCCCCAGGACAGTAATCCTCTCTACAAAAGCGCCATCACGACCACCATCAATCCTCGCTTTCAGGAGGCAGACAGTCCCACTCCCTGAGGGAAGGAAGGAAGGACACTCACCCAAGGCTCCTCTCCCTGGAGAACAGTGGGAACTGGGGGTGAGAAGGGTGGGTCTGTAAAACCTTGGCAGGGGACTAATTAACTGGTGAGGAACGGTCACCACCCTACTTCACTTTCAGAGTGACACCCAAGAGGGCTGCTTCCCATGGCTGCAACCTTGCATCTACCTGGGTTACCCCCCCCCCCCCAAGTACACAATAAAGTCTTACCTCAGACCACGGCTGTTACTTTGCTTTATCTCATCAAGGCCAAAGCAGACTGTTTATAGCCTGGGCCTTGGGAAAGAACACGTGCATCCTCCTCTTGCCACCCGCGGGCAGGGAGAGGTGCCCAAACGCAAATGTGCAGGAGACTCCTGCGGTGCAACCTGGGACCCAGGAAGCCACATCTGGAGAGGGCCTGTGAATTCTCAAGCGCTGCTGATGCGGGTGGGTCTCAGCCCAGACACCGCGTGTGCTGGTGGCTAACCTCCTGTCCTGCTGCGTGTGCTTTTCCCTCTTGCTCACAATGGATGCCGTTTTTGCTCCTAGTTTTTTGCTCCCCTGTGGAGGAGGAGTTTTAAAACGGCTTACAGGGTGCTCAAAGTTGCGGGGGTGATTATTAGGGAGAAAAAAGGAAAACAACTAAAACCAGCATGAAAGAGCTTCCCCAAAGAGAAGATGGTATGTAGAAAAGCCCCATTTTCCTTTTATTTAAATATCCTAAATATATCACGAAGGAACATACACTGCACTTTAATGGTAAAAAGATACAAGTTTATAACATCTTATAAAAACTACCATTTAAAAGTGATCTTGTCCATTTGATATTCCCTTCCCCCATAGCAAAATAAGTATATTAAAAAAAAAAAAAAAGGGTGAAGAGGAGAGGAAGGGTAGGAAGGGGACAGTTGATAAAACCCCAGGGCCACAGCAGAGGTGAAGGGCATCTGGGGATAGGGTCAGAAGCTGTGGCGGGACTCTACTCGTAACCCTCCAATGTCAAGCCATGGGCGCAATCAGTAGCTAAGTGATGATGAGGCTGTTTGGGGTAGTTGGAAAAGACACGGGGCATTGGGGAGGGCAGGGCTGGTAGGGTCGTAGGGTCTGGTGCAGCAGCCCACCTAGAACGGGCACTGCTTTTTCCCAGGCTCCCTGACTCCCCGTCCTGTCTCTGAGAGCCTGCCCTCTTTCCCTCTCCCCCATTCCAGACACACCTGAGGCATCTTCCAGTGCTAGGCACCATGCTGGCCAGCAGGGGTGAGGCATTGGGCCCAGAAGCCTCTGCAGAGGTCTTGAGTCAGTGCCCTGGGGTATCTGTGGGGCTCCCGGGCCCTCTGGATGCCGAATCACTCCGTTCACTGCTTTGCTCCTCTCTTCTCACACACCCATTGCCCCATCAGCACGGAAACTGAACCAACCACCTGCTCCTGAGTCTCCCTCACTGGGTCTTCGGCAGCTGCTATGGCTGTTCGCACATACCCTCTCAAGTTCCCTCCCTCCCACCTACCCAGACAGGAAACCAACGTCTGTGGGAGCCCAGGGCGCCTTCTGACCCAGTACACACATTAGTACACACAAGGGCATAGATCACTTAATGCGAGACTCATGTGAGTCTCTCCACATACACCCCTATCCCAAATAGATTAGCTCTAAGTGGCAGGGAGGGAGGCCTCTCATTTTCAAAAGCATTTTTTGGGAGGATAGTTTTCTAAACATTTTTAAATGGGTTACAGGGTGCTGGAAGATGGGTGAATCACCCCAGAAGTGAAGGACAGGAAAACCCCAGCTCCAGCAGAACCCTCAAACAGGAAGGGGGCTGGCTCACATGCAGAAAGATGCTCCTGCTTGCAGGGACCACAGGGCTGATCCAAGGACTGAGGTCTAAGTTCTGGAGCACATCAAATGGGAGTGTCAGCACAAAGTTAGAAGAGCACATGGCAGCAAACACTCCTCAGCGTCTCCTCAAAAGGATCTCAGATGCTGTTAGGGAAAATCGAATGGGTGCCACGCCTGCTTTCTTTTTCCCTGAAACACTCATGCCATCGAGGTATGGACAACTCCCTCCCCAACCCCACTCCTCCAGAACAGGTGACAGCCAGGAATCACTGCTGCTACCCATTCTTTGCATTTTTCTGGGAAATGAAATCACACTTCCAGGAGGTTCCCATCTCAGACCTCACTGACAGCTTGGCACTCAGGTTTACTGTCTCCATGATTACTAAGACAGTTAGTTCCCTTACCCGCCACAGGTCAGGTCAGGCCACAGTGGGGGTCAACCAAACCCAAGAACTTCCCATAAGGATTCTTTCTTTAGCAGAAAGAAAAGGTTTATTTCATCTTAGAAAATTCATGTTCACAGGCCCTGGGCTTGGGTTAGAAACACCATAACCACCAGGCTGTTGAATTAATCTAAAAATAAAATAAAATAAAATAAAAAACCCTCCAAAACAAAAGCCCTTCTGTTCCCTAAGTTGTGTTCTTCAGCTTCTGCTGAGACCTCAAGCACCCTTCATGTTTGGGAAAGAGGAGGCTATTTTCCACTCATCCTCCCCAAAGGTGAGGGCCAGAGAAGGGTTTGGCTCAATATGCCATCTCCTACAAGCATAAAAATACAAGCACTCATCTCTCTCTCTCTCTCTCTCACACACACACACACACACACACACACCCACACACACACACCCCTGATTACTTTTTTGGGGGTGGACAAGGTGGTGGTATTGGAGCAGAGAGGAGCAAAGAGTATGGTTAAGCATGAAACCTACATTAGGTTTCTTTAGTCTTTTCTCTGCAGCACCCCCACCTCCATCCCCCACACTTTATTGGGTAGGGATGGCCACCAGGAGGGAAGCTGAGATCTTGTTTTTTGGGACCAAAGGATAGACCCCTCCCTACCTCCTCTACCTGAATACAGTGATAGGACTTGGGGAGGGAGAACAGTGCCTACTGGTCAACATGCCCCAGATTCCTTTGTTTCTTAAGCAGCTGTTAGTCAACTCGGGACCAGTCTTGGGCTGTTCCTAAGAGGGCACAAGGAGAGAGAACCCACTGTGACATCCATGACTCCTTGTTCAACACATCTGTCTCACTGTAGGAGTCAATGGCGGCGAGGTAACCACAAACTATCTCCAAGATCGACTGCTCCCAAAAAGAAGAAAAGGGCTTCATGGGCCACGCTCACCCAAGTTCCTTCCTAAAGGCACTTGAGCTGACGCCATCAGGTGCCAATGTGACATGGGCCATGACAACACCCAGAGGCACAACTCTTCCTTTTCCCTTGAGAAAGGAGGAGGCACCATCCAATCTTCTTGGATTCAGCCCCTGTCTGCTCCACCCCGTTTTTCCTTTTGTCCCTACAGTGTATAACGAGGCCAAAGCAAGCTCAGCTGCCATCCCTGATCTTATTCTCCCTCAGAAGAAGATGAAGTGCAGGATTGTGGAACACTGAGGAGCTACTACAACTAAAAACCCAATTTTTGGGGAGAGTTGGATGAGCTATAGTCCCTACTTTGGACCAGGACTCTATGCCTCTGGATTACCTGTATCCACAGTTTACCTGCTAAAGTTGCTTTTGGATAAACAAAAACAAGAACAGAACAAACAAATCTCCTTCCCCAATCTTTTCCATTTCAGCTGCCAGCTGGAGTCCAAGGTTGTGGGGAGCCACACTTCAGTCTTGGTCCTGTACCTTGAGTCCCCACCTATGACCTCAGCCAAGGGTCCAGGGACTAGCTCTCCTACCCAGGAATGCTGTTAAGAACTTCCCCGAGATACTCATAGTCTCAGATTATTTACAGAGCTGAGGTTCTGGGGCCACTGTCCCCTGATGCACTCTTCTGGTCTCCTGGGTCCACTCCTCCAGGAGTGGGACAGGTTCACACGGGGTGGTGGTGGGACCATCAGACCAGAGGGGGTGCGCTCTTCGGTAGGTTCTTCTGATCACTCCCACCACCCGGGGCCCCTTGCGCCTATAGAGAAAACTGCCCGTCGGAAGTCTTGGACTGGCACCCTTGGCACATCCGTTTGTGTCTGAGTAATCGATCTGTCCGAGAGAAACACTGAGAAGAAAGGGAGGGTTAAGTGCCTGAGAAGAGAAACTCAGCTACCTGCTGGCTAACTCCTTCCTCTCACAGGAGGCAGATGCCGCATTCTCCATCCCCTCAGCATGTGCACAGACAGCGGGAGCACGTGGTGGTGGAAAATGTAAGCTCTCAAGCCAGGGCGCCTGAGTCTGAATCTTGGCTCTATCACTCAGCAGCTGTGTGACCTTGGGCAAGTTACCTAACAGCCCAGAATCTGCACACTCATCTGCAAAACTGTAAAGCGAGGCTAAAAGTACCTACTCACAGCACAGCTGCTTTATTCATCAAAGATTTATTGAGTATCTATCTCAACGCAGATACAGAGTAGAGAACCAGAGGAATGAAGTCTCTGCCCTTAGGGAGCTTTTATTCTAGTGTTCTGAAGATTCAATGTAAGAGTGCGGAGCAAAGCTTGGGACCTAGCAAAGCATCCAGGAAGTGTTAACTATTATCACTTCTCATCTCCTGTTCTTGTCTTGTTTTGGCCCTAGCTCTTACATTCTCATCAGATCAGAATACTGACCGCCAGGGCAAAGATTGCATCTCTTCCTCCAAAGTGCATGAGCTCTGAAGTTGGACTGAATCCCAGCTCTGTTCGTGATCTGCTGTGTCCTTGGGAAACTTAACTTCTCTGAATCCCAATTTTCCCATATGTGAAATAAAGACAACACAGCTACCTTAGGGAGTCAATGTGAAGATTAAACAGAATCATCTATGTAAAGTATGCTCTCACAGTGCCTGGCATAGAGGAAGTGCTCATGAAATACTATTATTATTATTATTATTACAATGTTCTAACTGCTCCTCCCCATGATTAGCTGCATGAGGCCAGACAGATGCACTTTACCCTGATGTGCTGAGGTCTAACGATTAAGGCGAGGAATGCCGGTGGCTCTTTTGTCAGGTAGGTGTGGACGCTGGCCCTGATTCTGGGGAAAGGAAAAGTGTGTGGGGGGTCGTAGCGGGGATGAGCCTTACCTGATGACACCGTTCACACTGGTAAGGCTTTTCACCACTGTGCACACGCTTGTGGCGTTCCAGGTGGTACTTCTGGATGAAACGCATATCACATATATCACACTCAAATGGCTTCTCACCTGGCCCAGGTCGAGAGAGAGAAGTGAATGTGGGGAGGTATGTACGGTAGGGACCTCACTCCAGGTATTTTCTCAGAAACTTTAACTCTTAGTTAATGTGTAGACAACTAAGGGATCATCAATAGGGAGTGGTTCCCAAAGCTGCTGGTCTCAGTGACACCAAAAACGAGGCCATGCAATCTCTCTGCTTCACTGACTTATCTTCTTCATTTCTAATACTTACCCATTAAAATAAACCCAACGAGAGCCACACACAGACATGGAATACAAGTGATAGACTATTCTCCCCCTTTGAATATAAGGAAGAGACTTACCAGTATGAATAAGGATGTGCCTCTTTAGGTGGTAACTGCTCCGAAAGGCTCCAAAGCAGTGTTCACAAACAAAATTTTTGGGAATCTTTACTTGAAAAGAACCATTTTGTTCCACTACCACCACCTGGGGGCAATAATCAGGCATGTCATGAGGCCACCACTGCCCTCTTCCTGGAGAGACTGTTCTACTCTGGGTCCACTTCCAGCTGTTGGAGAAAGGAACCTCTCTGATGCTGTCTAAAGGTACTGCCATCTCCCGTACTCCATGGAGGTAAGAGACCCTTTGGGGAAGGAGGTGGAGTGGGTAAGCTGTCTACTCTGTCAAACCCAGCACTCCGAGTATGACTTAAACCGGAGCCTGCCTGCCCCCATGCCGTACGATCTGGGATCTCACGCTCCCCAACCTGTACCATCAACTGTTCCAGCAAAGCTAGAGGTCAACTACCAAGGTAGTCTCCGGGTGAAATCTGGGAGACTCACTCGCTGGCTATTAAAGATCAAAGCATCTAGGGAAAGGTCAGGATACATGGTAGAAGGAAGGAGGAGGAATATTACCCCATTACCAAACTGTATGCGTTTGGGGGATCACCCCATTACCTGCCTTTTTAACAGTCTTTTTTGAATGAGAGGCCTCAGACAAGCTGTCATCATCTTTGCGGCTCCGCGACTTATCACTCTCTTTTCGGTGACCCTTTGAAGACAAATCAAATCTAAACTCACAGTCCATCTCAGAACACGAGATGAGACCCAATGCTGCTCTCAGACAAAACTCATAAATGAGAGTAAACCACCTGCCCCAAAGGCTTAGAGGAAGTAGACAACTACTTCCTCTCCGAGCACCTGGTCTTAAAGAGTTGAAGGTACAGAAAAGACCTTCCTTAGCTTTCTGAAATACCAGTGTTCATCCATTTCCCAGCTGGATCCCCTTGTCCCACTTCCCTATGCAGAAGCATCAAGCAATCAGAGCATGGTGTCTCCTGGCAGAGAGCTCGGGCCACCCGATCCCCAGGTGCCACAATGGACTCAAGTGCTGTACCTGACTCGAGCACCTCAGCACATCAGGGCTACCTGCCCGCTCGCCATTCTCGGCCTGCTTGCTGGCAATCTGGCTCAGCATCATCTTCTTGCTGGCTGCAGTGGGAACCAAACTCACACCTGCTAGGCCTTCACAAGCCAGGAGACTTGCCTAAGTTGAAAGGAGATGAGGTGTCAGGTCACCCGGCAGGGCAGGGCAAAAACAGGCTGCCATCCTCTAAAGAACTACCTTTTACACCCAGCTACAAACTGCATCTCTCCAGGGACTGTCCCTTCTCACTGTCAAAGCCTGCTTCCTTCGAGTCCTCCTTAACTCATCTCACCAGGAATAACCTGTCATCCCTCAGCATTTAAATATCAATTAAGTAAACAATCAAGTATTACTGACACCTTTGTCAGCACTATGCAAGGTACTGTGTGTGGCTACATATTTATTTGAAGGTATTTCTAGGCCTTAACTGTGAGTGGGTATGAGGTTCCATCTTGCTAACCCACTGACACGGGGAATTCCTTTGGGACATTCCTCCTTCCTCTCTCAACAGCCCTTAGCTGGGCCGGGTGCAGTGGCTCACGCCTGTAATCCCAGCACTTTGGGAGGCAGAGGCAGGTGGATCATAAGGTCAGGAATTTGAGACCAGCCTGGCCAATATGGTGAAATCCCATCTCTACTAAAGATAAAAAATAAGCTGGCTGTGGTAGTGTGCGCCTGTAGTCCCAGCTACCCGGGAGGCTGAGGCAGAATTGCTTGAACCCAGGAGCCAGGACTGCGTCACTTAACTCCAGCCTGGGTGATAGAGTGAGACTCTGTCTCAAAACAAAACAAAACAAAACAAAAAACAAAAACACAGGTTGGGTAAAACCAGCCTGGATCAACACGGAGAAACCTCGTCTCTACTAAAAATACAAAATTAGCCAGGTGTGGTGGCACATGCCTGTAATCCCAGCTACTTGGGGGGGTGAGGCAGAAGAATCACTTGAACCCAGGAGGCAGAGGTTGCGGTGAGCCGAGATTGAGCCGTGCACTCCAGTCTGGGCAACAAGAGTGAAACTCAACAAAACAAAAACAGCAAAACAGCCCTCAGCTTCAGTGCCCACTTTTGATTGGCAGATCTTGCTGGTGCCAACTGTATTTTCTATCAGATTCTGTTTGTTGGTTGAGACAGGGTGACACTCTGTCACCCAGGCTGGAGTGCAGTGGCACAATCTGAGCTCACTGCATTCTTGACCTGCCTGGCTTAAGCAATCCTCTAACTCTACCTCCTGAGTAACAGGGACTTCAGGAGAGTGCCACCACACCTGGCTATTTTTTTTTTTTTTTTTTTTGTATTTATAGAGACAGGGTTTCACCATGTTGCCCAGGCTGGTCTGAAACTCCTGAGCTTAAGCAATCCTCCAGCCTCAGCCTCCTAAAGTGCTGGGATTACAGGCCATTTCTCCCTTTTGATTTTAAATTCCCTAAGTATTACCAATTGCAACTGTTATAAAAATTAAACCACTTGGAAAGATTTTTGGAGTTATTTCTCTTGACCTCTTAGGGCAGTTACATGTGTGCATGTGTGACTACATTTATTCACATTCCTTGCTCCACAAATAGTTTAAAAAATTACCTAAGCAAAGTTATGTTTAAGTAAATGTCTTTTTTCCACTGCTACATTCTTCAAACTGACTTCGGTTAGCCAGCATTAAAGAAAATACTTTTCTTACCAAAAAAAAAGAAAAAAATCCTTTTAAGAAGTTGGTCACCAAACTCCCAAATTTATGAAGAAATTCCTTTTGGATGATCAGTATATTCTGGGACCCCTCCCTCCACCTTCTGGGACTTTGAGTGAAAGATCCACAGTTAAAATCTTAGCTCAGCTGTTTGCACTGTGTAATCTTGGGAAAGTTACTCCACCTTTGCAAGCCACAGTTTCCTTACATGAAAAATGCCTGTCATAATGCTTATCCTCACAGGGTTGATGAGAAGTAAACTAAGTTGTAAAATGCTTAAGTGTCCAGTACGAAGTTGAGTCCTTAGTGGAAGGCAGCCTTCTCAGAAGAATGAACACAGTGCTGAGAAGTGGGTTGTGAAAGACAAAGGAAGAAGAAACCGACGGGCTTGTATTCTATATGGAGAGGAGGAAGCTGGGCATTCAGAAGCAGCTGGAGGAAAGCCAATTATGCTACAATCAGACTGTCATCCTGGTGAGACTGGTAGGGGAGGTTCCCTAGAAGAAAGCTGGGAGAAGCTCTGGAGATACGTGCAGACAGCTCTTCTACTCAGGTGGCTACAACAGCCTAGCTCTCAATTCTGTCTCTCCAATCCGTCCTCTACCTCCACAATAATGACCTTCTACATACACTGATCTGAGGCTACTCTGCTGCTTGACTTAGCAAGGCATAAAAGGCCCTTGGGTTACACACTCCGCTTACTGCAGGGAACAACTTCCTCACCTATCACTGTCAATACTACCTATATAACGAATCCCCATTTAAATCCTTTGCTCCGTAGCTACCAAACTACCTGCAGTACCTGGAACCTCACCACGTTTTTCCAAGACTCTACGCTCCTGCCCATGCAGTTCCTTTTGTCCAAACACCCTTGTGCTTGTCTAGCAATATCCTATGCATCTTTCAAGCTTCATCTTTTCTATCCAAGCAGAGGTATTGTTCTCTCCTACGTACATATCCCTATTATTGCACACTCCTCAATCAACAGAGTCTGAGTCTCTACTACTAGCTAGCCACTGTACAAGGCATTGTGAATATAAAAATAAGTAACTGTCTTTCTATTGCTCCCCCGACCCCAACTGGCCTGGAAGCTCACTGGGGACAAGGACAATCTTATTCATCTTTGTATTCCCAGCGCAATGCCTTGCATGTAACAGGAACTCAATAAACTCCTGTTGAAAAAAACAAATGAAGCATTCACCATACTATTCACTCCCTTACATCCCTCAGCACTTAATGTACCCAATGTAAACTGAGTACACGTTGCTTTGCAAATGTCCCATCAGTGCCTGTGATGCAGAATAGCCTACCTCCTTCATTTGACTGGAAGCTCCCTGAAGGCAGGGGCTGTGGCCTGTCTCCTTTCCTTCCTCTAGATCTCCCCCTGGTGCTTAATACAGAGCTTGGATCACTGGGGTTGGTCAATATGTTGACTAAGGCAGCATTCAAGAGTGAAACTGCAAACAGGCTTCCCAGTGATCTTGGAGGAGGACTCTAGAGCTTTTTACCTGAGCCATGCTGATTTCTCACTTAATGCAACCCAAAAGTTCAGGAGTTCCTTGGTCCACCTTTCCTTAAGACACTGCCGTTTTGAAGAACTGTCACCAAATCACGGTAACGACTCCTTTGTGTCCCATGAGTCCTGTTGCCATGTTGGAACTTTGTCTTCAAATAGAAGTTAGCGTCCTCCAAAGAAAAGATGGGTGTTCCAAGAATCCCTGGACTCTGCCTGTGTCCTGCCTATTGTCTGAAGAAAAAGTCTACCAGTCTTGGTTTTCCAGTTGAATTCTCTTGATGAAACTCACGATGTTTCAGAAACCTGAAACCAGAAAGGAAGACGGGGGCTGCTAAGTGCAACATCCTCACGCCTTGACGACGTGCGATGTGAACTTTTTTTTTTTTTTTTTTCTGCTGGGCGCTCTCTGTGAAGCTCAGAACGAGGACATGAGTCAAGAAGAGTTTTCTTTCTAGGTCAATAGGAGGAACTGGTCTCCTGGGCAAGGAGGGGAAGCCAACAGGAGCAAAAGTAATTGGGGCCTCCTATGGAGGAACTCTGCCAACATGGCAACTGCTTAGATTTGCCATCTCAGTAATGGACGAAGGGGGCGGAGATCCTTTGGGGCTTTTGTGCCCAGTGGGCCGGCCCGAAAAGCTCGCAGTTTACAGAGGCGGCCAGACTAGGGTGAAGGAAAGCTCAAGGGCCATCGCTGGGTGCTTCGGTGGCGGGCAGAAAAGGGACTGGCAGTGCCCACACGTGCGTGTTCTCCGCGTCCGCCCGAAGGTAGGAAAACTCGCTGCGGAGGTGGAGGGCAGGCAGGCGAAGCCCGAAGCTTGCTCGGGCCAGCCAGCCCCTGCACCCGCTGCACCAACCGGGAGCAGAGCCGGAGAGCACCGAGAAGCGCGCGAGGTGCGTGCTCGCGCCCGTGTCCCCTCCGAATGAGCCCCCTCTCCTGGGCCGCGGACGCGGTGAGACGCGCGGGCGGGGGGAGGTGTGCGCGCACGGCCTTTCCCCTCCCTCCCCCGGAGAGCCCCCTCCCTTCGCCACGCGCCCCTCCTCCCCTCCCCTCCCCCTTCCCGCGCGGCGCCCCACGGCTTGCGAGCTACTGAAGCGCTGCCGTCTGCACGGACGACGCTGCGCTCTCTGGGGCGTGCTCTTACCTGCCAGGCGCGGCTTCCCGCTGGCTCTTCGGCCGCGCGGCGCCTCCTCCAGGCCCCAGCACACCCTGCCAACCCCGCGGCCGCCGCTGCCCCCACCGGGACCGAGGCAAGTTTACAAACACCAACCCCGGCCGGTTTCCCCGGAAGCACTTCCCTCTCCCCCTCGTCCTCTCCGCCAAGCGGCCGCATCCACTTCCGGGCTCGGGAGCTAGACAAGCAGGGGCAGCCTCCGAGCGGGTGAGGCTGGGGACGTGCAGAGAAGTGCAGCTGGTGAGTGGGCGGTGCCGTGCGCGGAAGGCCTGGAGGAGCGAGCGCGGAGGTCCGCGCGTGCGCCGTGGCGCGGGCGCGCCTTGGCCGCCATCGAGACTGAGGGCAGGAGCCTCAGCCCTGAGATGGTCCTTCGCTGGGTACTTGGCGGGAGGCGGGTTTGCTAGGTGAGCTGGTTCAGACTCCTTGAAAAACCGCCGTCACTCTTTCTCCGTCGTGGACGTTCTCCCCATCTCTCTGAGCCGGCGCCCCAAGTAGAGCCAGAGTAGTTCGTACCCAGCCTTTTCACGAAACTCGGTCGAGATGGTTCTCCGAACATTTTTTCATCAGGCTCAGATCTGCAGATTTTGGGGACAGCTGGGAGAGGCGTTAACTTTCTTTGCATACTCCTGCCTTGGGCGCTCAACCACAGTCTGAAAATGAGTGTTCTTGCAGAGGCGTTCCTTGAGTAGCCCGAGGCCACACTGCTCACGTCCCTGCAGAAGTCGAAGCGCCAGCCGTGGTCTGCGCACCCCGAGGCCAGCCTGGTTACCTTCTTCCCTTCCCCCTTTACTCCAGGCGGTCAAGCATCGAACGTTAGCCTCCATACCTGGAAAAGACCCTGACTCCCCCAGTAGACTAGTCTTTCGGGAGACTTAGCCCATGCCAGGCTGCATTAGGAAAATGGGAACCAGACACTGTCTTCAAATTCTTCTCCCTAGCCTTAGCCATTAGAGGGAGGTCCTGCTAAAGATGGACTGCAGTTACGCTTGTTGGAAGGAGATGTCAATTCCACTTAAGTCATTTCTGCTGTAGGTGATACAGCGTCGTGACATTAGGAGAAGTAATGGTGATACCAAAAGAAAAAAGAATCTTTATGATGATGAAAAAAGACAAGGATTCGCAACCATTTTTTCTTTTTATAGACAGATTTCATTTCCCTGAGCCACTCCATGATATGAGCCGTTGAAAACACATTTTTTGTGCTTTTAGGATCATTCTAAAATAGAGACAAAATGGAGAGAGAGAGAGAGAGAGAGAAATAAAGAAACCACCAGGAATAAGCCTTTATAAACCTTTTTTGAAAATTAGCTCCTACTGAACTGCTTGAACCAGGGAGTCGGAGGTTGCAGTGAGCTGAGATTGCGCCACTGCACTCTAGCCCGGCGACAGAGGGAGACTCTGTCTCAAAAAAAAAAAAAAAAAAAAAAAGCTCCTACTTATTTTTTTTTTGAATTATTAGTATTTTTTGAGACAGAGTTTCGCTCTGTAGCCCAGGCTGGCTGGTGTGATCTTGGCTCACTGCAACCTCTGCCTCCCGTGTTCAAGCGTTTCTCCTGCCTCACCCTCCCTAGTAGCTGAGATTACAGGCGTGTGCCACCACACTCGGCTAATGTTTTGTATTTTTAGTAGAGACAGGGTTTCACCGTGTTAGCCAGGGTAGTCTCAAACTTTGACCTCAAGTGATCTGCCAGCCTTGGCCTCCCAAAGTGCTGGAATTACAGGTGTGAGCCACCTTGCCCTGTCAGCTCCTACTTATTTTACAAATCGACAATGCAAAAGTATAAAAGACACAAAAATGGTTAGTCTCCCTTTCTACTTATCCTATGTTCCTGAAGGGAGTCATTCTTTCCAGTTTGTTATATATGCTTCTAGGCTTTTGTCTGTGTTCATACAAAAATCTTTTCATTCAGTATTTATTGAGCACCTATAATGCACCATACAGTGTATTTTAGACATCTAAATCAGCTAATGTTTTAAAAATTGTTACGCAGTATTCCAGTTTATGTGTGTGCTTTGTCTAGTGTCATCTTGATGAACATTTAGGTTTCAGATTTTTTCGCTTTATAAAAAATGCAATAATGAACATCCTTAAATAGTTACCTTTTTGCATTTATAAAGATTGGTAGATAAGATACAGTGCTTTTTTTTTTTTTTTTTTTTTTTTTTTTTTTTGTTTTGAGACAGAATTTCACTCTTGTTGCCCAGGCTGGAGTGCAGTGGCGCAATCTCGGCTCACCACAACCTCTGCCTCCCAGGTTCAAGTGAGTCTCCTGCCTCAGCCTCCTGAGTAGCTGGGATTACAGGCATGCACCACCATGCCCGGCTAATTTTGTATTTTTAGTAGAGATGGGGTTTCTCCATGTTGATCAGGCTGGTCTCGAACTCCTGACCTCAGGTGATCCACCCGCCTTGGCCTCGCAAAGTGCTGGGATTACAGGTGTGATCCACCGCGCCCAACTGATACGTGCTTTTTTAAAAAATTATTTTTGTTTTTTATTTTTTTGAGACGAAGTTTCGCTCGTCACCCAGGCTAGAGAGCAATGGCACAATCTCTGCTCACTGCAACCTCTGCCTCGTGGGTTTAAGCGATTCTCCTGCTTCAGCCTCCTGAGTAGCTGGGATTACAGGCACCCGCTACTGTGCCTGGTTAATTTTTTTGTGTTTTTTAGTAGAGATAGAGTTTCACCGTGTTGGTCAGGCTGGTCTCAAACTCCTGCCCTCAGGAGGTCCACCCTCCTCAGCCTCCCAAAGTGCTGGGATTACAGGTGTAAGCCCCCATGCTCAGCTCTATTATAATTTTTATTTTTTTTAAAGATAGGGTTTTGCTCTGTAGCCCTGGCCGGAATGCAGTGGTGTGATCAGGGCTCACTGCAGCCTAAACCTTCTGGCCTCAAGGAATCCTCCCACCTTAGCCTCCCAAGTCGCTGGGACTGCAGATGTGGGTAACTATGCCTGGCTAATTTTGTATATATATATATATATATATTATATATATATTTTTTTTTTTTTTTTTTTTTTTTGTAGAGGTGGGGTTTTGCCACGTTGCCCAGGCTGGTCTCCAATTCTTAGGCTGAAGCTATCCACTGGCCTCAGACTTCCAGAGTGCTAGGATTACAAGATTGAGCCACCATGCCTGGCCAGATATGTGCATTTAAAATTTTAATAGATTCTGTGAAAATGAATTGCAAAAGTTTGTAATAACTCCCATGCTCACTCAGAACTGTGTGTGAATGTTCCCTGTTCCTACAACTTTGGCAATATTTAGTATATGCTATGAATTTTTTATTCACTTACCAGTTTGATAGATGAAAAATAGTATTTAATTGTTTTAATTTGCATGTCATTAATAGTGAAGTTAAGCTTTTCTTACTTCCTTTTTTTTTTTTTTTCTAATTCTATTTTTTAAAAGAGATTGGTCTCCATGCTTTATTGCCCAGGCTAGTTTCCAGCTCCTGGGCTCAAATGATCCTTCCACTTCAGCCTTCCAAATAGATGGGACTATTTTATTGCTTTTTGACCATTTTGAATTGTTTTTGTAAATTGTCTGTTTATATCCTTTGCAAAAAGGTAGATTATCTGTATATTTCTTTTTTTTTTTTTTTTTTTTTTTGAGACGGAGTTTCGCTCTTGTTACCCAGGCTGGAGTGCAATGGCGTGATCTCGGCTCACCGCAACCTCCGCCTCCTGGGTTCAGGCAATTCTCCTGCCTCAGCCTCCTGAGTAGCTGGAATTACAGGCACGTGCCACCACGCCCAGCTAATTTTTTGTATTTTTAGTAGAGACGGGGTTTCACCATGTTGACCAGGATGGTCTCGATCTCTTGACCTCGTGATCCACTCGCCTCGGCCTCCTAAAGTGCTGGGATTACAGACGTGAGCCACCGCGCCCGGCCGATTATCTGTATATTTCTAATTGATAGTAGAGATCCTCTCTGTGTTATGGATAATAGCTCTTTTTTTTTTTTTTTTTTTTTTTTTTTTTTTTTTTTTGAGACGGAGTTTCGCTCTTAGTTACCCAGGCTGGAGTGCAATGGCGCGATCTCGGCTCACCGCAACCTCCGCCTCCTGGGTTCAGGCAATTCTCCTGCCTCAGCCTCCTGAGTAGCTGGGATTACAGGCATGTGCCACCATGCCCAGCTAATTTTTTGTATTTTTAGTAGCGACGGGGTTTCACCATGTTGACCAGGATGGTCTCGATCTCTCGACCTCGTGATCCACCCGCCTCGGCCTCCCAAAGTGCTGGGATTACAGGCTTGAGCCACCGCGCCCGGCTGATAATAGCTCTTTATTCTTTGTCATCTGCATTTAAAATATTCTCTCTGGCGGGGCACAGTGGCTCACCCCTGTAATCCCAGCACTTTGGGAAGCCGAGGCAGGTGGATCACAAGGTCATGAGTTCGAGACCAGCCTGGCCAAAATGTTGAAGCCCCATCTCTACTAAAAATACAAAAATTAGCTGGGCGCGGTGGCACATGCCTGTAATCCCAGCTACTCATGAGGCTGAGGCAGGAGAATCGTTTGAACCTAGGAGGCAGAGGTTGCGGTGAGCCGAGATTGTGCCATTGCACTCCAGCCTGGGTGACAGAGTGAGACTCCGTCTCAAAAAAAAAAAAAAAAAAAAAAAAAAAAAAAATTTCTCTCTATCTTTCACTTTCAGCTTTCAAGATAAAAATGCTTTATGGGAAAATATTTGAAATTTGAAACATGCCTATTTTTGATAGGAACAAGTCAGAAATGTTTACTATTAAAACTAATATATATGTGTGTGTGTGTTTATATATATACTGAGGTGGAGTTTCACTCTTGTTGCCCAGGCTGGGGTGCAATGGCATGGTCTCGGTTTGCTGCAACCTCCGCCTCCTGGGTTCCAGTAATTCTCCTGTCTCAGCCTCCTGAGTAGCTGGGATTACAGGTGCCTGCCACCATGTCCAGCTAATTTGGTTTTTTTTTTTTTTTTTTTTTTTTTTTTTTTGTGGAGTCGAGGTTTCACCATATTGGCCAGGATGGTCTTGAACTCATGACTTTGTGATCCACCGGCCTTGGCCTCCCAAAGTTGGGATTACAGGCATGAGCCACTGTGCCTGGCCTAAAACTAGTGTTTTTAGGAGAGCTCCTTGCTACCCTAAAGCCTCCTTGGTTTCACATAAATTTCATCTTACAGAGAGAAATAGTTGACAATGTATCAAAACTATGGAGTTCAGTAACATGATCAGATGTCAGATTAACAAACAAAAATTATATAAATAAAAT